GACGTGCAACCACGCGAAAATAAAAACCGGTGGGAGAAAGTTCAGGAGCCAGGCCCCCAAAAAAAATTTGGCGCGAGAAACTTCAGGAGTCGTGCTGGGCACGAGAAACTTCTGGAGCCACGCTACGGATCCAACCACGCCACGTGCGAGGCAAAAAAAGGGAAAAAAAAACGACGCCCCGGGTGTCTGCCGGGCCCATTCCTGGTGTCCCTGACTCCGTTCCCAAGAGTGACAGCCGGGCCTGGCAGGAGCGTGACGCCAGACCCGCTATTCGCTTAAAGATAGTAAGGGAAAACACCAGCCATTTTCTTCCGGTTGACCATGACCTGAGCCTCCGATTTTTTCAGAGAGGGTCAACCGTGGTTCCTAACTTGGCTGGGGCCATGTACTGGTGGGGGCTTAAGAAGCTTCAGGTGGCAGACCAGTCCTTCGCTGGACCTTCGGGACATCTGATATAAGTCGAACAGTACGGAAAAGATTAGTTATCTCGGCCCCTGCACAAGGATGGAGCGTGTACATCAAGAGATCATGGTCCAAATTGTTAATTAATAAAAAAAGAAAAGAAAAGAAAAGAAAAGAGAAGGAGCTAGGGTTCACAGGAGACCAGTGAGGTGAGAGCTGAGACTAGTGTGGGATGGGCGCAGCGCTACCGGGGGCGCTGCGCCCCGGCAGCATCAATCATCAATCAAGGTTACCGCCACGGAGAGGAGCCGCGCGCGCTGGCAAACTGCATGCAGCAAGGAAAATGGCGCGCGCGCTCTCGACGATTGCGCGTGATTGGGCGCGCGCCCTGAGCTGAAAATTGGACCACCGGTGGTCTATGTCGAGGAGCTGAGGTGTTCCAAATTTCAGATCAAATGGTCCAGCGGATCATGAGATATCGAAGATCTAGGGCGCGCCACGAAATTCGAGTGTGTCGGGCGATGAGGACGACGGGGGCAGGGGACTGCGCCTAGCACACGCGCAGGTGCTGCCACGTCAGCACAGGTAGGGAGATTGTTGACATCATAGGGATGAGGGATTTAAGTGCTTGCTACGCTTCAAGTTGTGTTCTGCTGAGCTACAGCGTTGACAGCGGCATTCCTAGCCGTCAAAGTGGAGAGAGAGGCGATAGTCTTTTGTGCTGTTTTGTGCCTATCTCCTGGCATCACAGGCTGGTGCAGGAAGAGAGGGGGGGCTGGTTGCTTCTGTTTCAGGGTGCGAACCTTCAGGCATAGGAACCTCAGCAACACTGAGTATATTCTGCTTCACGGGATGGTACGTTCTCTTCTACTTTGTTGGGCTTTTCAGATCCAGCATCCTGGTGGTTTTCGTGACGGTCTTTCTACTCGCAGTGTGGTGACACGTGGCCATATTCAACATCATCTTTTTCTGAAGCAGCAATACCGGCGTCATGTTTCATCATCATCTTCATCATCATCATCATCTCGGGACAACATCAGTTAGTAAGCGGGCTTCTTCATCAGCATGTTCGTCAGCGACAGCTTTATCATCAGCTCGTAAGAGGGCATCGTCATCACCAGCTTCGGTTTTATCATCACCGTCATCGTCATCATCATCATCATCATCATCATCATCGGCGGTTGTCATCATCATCGTTATCATCATCATCATCATCATCATCATCATCATCATCATCATCTCATCATCATCATTATCATCATCAGCATCATCGTCATTATCATCATCATCAGCATCATCATCATCATCAGTAGCAGCAGCAGCATTACTGACATCATCATCATCTTTATGAGCATCTTTATTGGTGCGTCATCATCATCATCATCATCATCATCATCATCATGAGCATCATCATCATTGGTGCGTCATCATCATCATCATCAGCAGCAGCAGCAGCAGCATGAGCATCATCATCATTGGTGCGTCATCATCATCATCATCATCATCATCATCATCACCATCATCAGTATCATCATTATCGTCATCATATACTCATCATTATGATGATGAGTATTATCATCATTATTAGTTTGTTATTATTAGATGCTGTTCTTCAAGGCATCGTTCGCCTTTCGCATCAGCAGGTAAGAGGGTAGTCATTATCTTCCTCATTATCGTGCTGTTCTTCGTCATCAACAAAATCCAAGCGAATGTCATTTTGGTGAGGGGGAGGGGGAGAGCCCAGCTCTGCAGGGGTTTCATTAGGTGGGTGGTGAAACCCTGGAGGGGGCATGGGCAGATTGTGAGGATTACTCTTTTCTGGGGCTGGGCATCAAATCCCAGCGGGGGCAGATTAGGGTAAAGGGATAGACAGGGGAGTGGAGTGAATGTAGGAAGGAAGGGAGAGTAGGGATTTTTATGAATCATCTCATCATCAAAATCTTCATTATCATCATCATCATCCATGTTATATCATGCTTTCTGGTGTGTTGTAATTCTCGGCGGTATCTKGCCTCCTTCCTTAATCAGGATAATGAGATTTTAGAGATGGTTGAATCTGGACCGATATCTACAGAGTTGCTTTGTCTTTGCCCCTGGTTTGGCGATGCCAGAACGACGCTGGCCGGTGCTGGGGCAGTGCCGTGTAACCTGCATTGGCAGGAGTGTGAGACCTTGTAGAGAGATCTGGGGATTTGCCGAGGGAGGAAGGCAATCCAGTGGCGAACCGGGGGGGCTGCCTTGACAACCTATGGGGCCAGGGATAGTCTAGGTGGTGAGAACAGGTCAACTATGGTAGACATTGGTAAGGAGGGTATTGTCTCTGAGATGTAATGTCCTGGTGCAGGGAGGGCTGGGAAGGTTCAAGGATTAGGAGGCCAGAAGTGCTGTTATAACATAGTCTTTTATATTTTCTATATTTTATTATTTTCTATTTACTAATCATTATCATAATCATCATCATCATCATCATCGCATCATTTGATTCATTAGTATCATCATCTGATTAATGATATATTAAGCTTTTTGGTGTTCTGAAATTTTGACAGCATCTAGCATTCTTCCACATTCGGAATATAGGACTTCAAAGATAATTGAACCTGGACTAATATCTACTGAGTTGCTCTGTTCTGTGCCCTTGGTTTGCCGATGCCAGAACGACGCTGGCCGGAGCTGGGGCGTTGCTCTGTAACCTGCAAATGGCAGGAGTATGAGGCCTTGTAGAGAGATCTGGGGTTTGCTGAGGGTGGAAGGCATTCCAGTGGTGAACCCGAGGGGGCTGCAAGGTGGCGAGAAGAGATCAACTAAGGTTGACGTTGGGTAGGTTGGTTTTGGCTCTGAGGTACAGTGTTCTGGTGCAGGGAGGGCTAGGAGTTATTCTAGGATTAGGAGGCCAGAATAGCTGATATAGCATAATCTTTTATATTTTTTCATATATTTGAATCTAGCATCATTATCTGTAGTATCATCAGTATCATCAGGGTCATCATTATAACTATTTGAGGGACGTTGAGCCCTCAGCAAAAAAAAAAAAAAAAAAAAAAAAAAGGGAGACCGTAGTGAGGTTGAAAAGTGGTGCTGCAGCATCTTTTTTTCTTTTCTTTTTTTTTCCCCTTTTTTGGGATACCTGGGGTCATGCCCACCAGCGGGGGTGATATGAGCACCTCCTTCTAGTTGGCCCATCCCTGGATGCTCCGGTCGATTGGTGGGGGGAGCGGCACCTGCAGCGCCATTCGTTCTGTGCTTTTCCTTTTTGGTTTCGCAGCTCAGCGTCATTCACCTGCAAGCGGTGGAAGAATCCTGGGGTGAGCATCGTTCGGTCCTTATCTTTGCACTCGATTCGGAAGCCACAAAAACCGCTGCTTTCCATGCGCCCGGCCTCCCATTTGATGTCGCCGCAAACTCTCCGGTCGCGCAGGCATGCAGGTATCAGCACACTCATTTCACCGTCTTGAAAGACCTTGTACCCCATCTCCATCTTGACCATCAAATTAATCAAATCCTTTACTTCAACCTTGTGCCAGTGATTGTAGAGGACTGGAAGTGATCGGGAAAGGATGTGCTCGAGGAGCTGCAGGCTTGCAATACCGTTGCGAATCCCGAATCTCTGGAACGCAGAAGGAATGAGTTCGCCGGCGATTCGGCAGCAGAACCATTGCGGCTTGACGACCACAAAGCACATCGGGTCAAACCAAATGACCTCCCCGATATCGTGAAGGTAGCGGGCCACGATACTCGCCAAGTCGGCAAGATAGCGGGTTGCGGCCTTGGACAGGTGTTGCTCAGCCACCGGCTCGCCATCTTCACAGAGCAAGGGTTCTTCTTTCCTATACCGAGAAGGAAAAGCCGCAGATTGACAGATGCGACTGAAATCTTCCCAAGAGAGAAGAGGAAAATGTCTTGGCAGTGAGACGATCTTGGACAACACCTGGTCCATGACACGGAGCATTTTCGTCCCCTTGAGGATGGCTTTTGCTCGACGAAAAAGGAAGTCGCGAACTGGCCTGCAGTCGGCCCTTTCTCGAGCGTCGACAACAAACAACACATTACCGATCTCCAGCATGTCTTGAAACTTCACCGACGCCCACTCCAGCAGCTCCTTCGCCTGACTTGTAAATTCACAAGGACTGGGCAAAGGGTGATGAGGGTTGAAGACCAACGCCACCAGAGGCTTCCTCATCGCCCCGGAGTTGGCGGCAATGAGCCTCAGCCAATACTTCAACTGCATCTTCAACTCGGGTATCGATCGCCATTCAACAGATTTTCCTTTCGCCGCTTTCGACATCGTCCCATCGCGCACCCGGACAGGATTACAGACCAGCAGGAACATTGGCAGGACCGCCATTTCGTTGCCCAACGTAGGCATGAAGAAATCATGAATGCTTTTGTATTGCTGTTCCCCTCCTAGATCCCAAAACTGGATGTTGGTCGCGGTACCTTCATCACAGTGCCTCTGAGTAACGTTTGCAATCCTGACCCCTTTCGCTTTCGTCGGCAACACCCAACCTGAAACTTTCTCCACCAAAGAGTCCAATTTACTCTGCGTGATCGATTTCTTCAACGCCGTCTTCCCAGCAAATGGCTCGCCTGCCAGAAAACATCTAATGTGCCGACCGGGAGTATACTCCACAGCTCCGGTAACTTGCAGTATGGATCGCTCCCAGTAGTTCCTCTTCAACTTTCTGTTGATTCTCACATTACCTGACCCAAAGCTACCTAAAGATCTGATTGTCATGTTGCTGTCTAGAATAGACAGAATGTGTGTTATCTCCGACTCTGACAGAGGCCGGTCTCTTTCCAGACAGTCGAAGATCTCCAAGCAATTGTTTCGCTTCAGTCCTTCTAGGATTCTGATAATCGCTCCAGCAGGGACAGGACTTCGCACCCTCAACTCCTTCAGACTGTCATTCATGCTCAGCAACCGTGCAAGCGCCTTGACGATGCTCTCGCCTTTGCCACAAGAACTGTCATCATCATGCATGCTAGGGAGAGTGAGAGTGAGCTTCTGAAGCCGGGTGCCGAGAACGCCCGTTGCCTCCCCTCGCGAGGGCATCCATGACCGGGTGCCAAGAATGCTCGTCGAGTCCCCTCGCGAGGGCGTCCATGGCCTCGCGGTTGCAGCTGCGTAACCTATGTTCCAAGTTCGCTTCCCTCGCCCTGTGACCACCAAGCCCCAGTGCTCTGAGTTTGGTGCTGCCATCTCTGGCGTCTCTCTCCCTTTCTGCTGCATCTTAGTGCCCTTCCCCTCCGCAGCCCCCTGCTCCTCCTCTCTTCCTCTCTGCAGCTTGTTTGGCAATGCAAGGCCATCTGCAAGGCGTTCCACCGCTTGCGTGAGGAGCATCGTCCCCCACAAATCACACTCTTGCAAGCTCACGCTCCTCGTCACACCCTCTATCAGATTGACCATGCCTATTGAGTCCAGTTCACAGAATAAAGCCATGAAGTGCGTGAGCGATCGGTTATGGGTCAGCATGTCACCCAGCAACCACCCGGCTCGGATCAATGGTCGAAAATTGCTCTTGCAGAATACAAGTATCTTCACGGGACAGCAGGGGTTCTTAAGAAAGCAAGAGAGATCAAGGAGAAACTCCTCGGGCGTGAGCGTTCCCAGGCTTGCAAACTCAATACGCCAAAGCGACAGAAGTGAAGTGCCTTCTATGGCCAACAACCTCCCGAAACATACAAAGCAAACATCTATCCATTCTTGCATCCATAGGGAAAGCGAAGGGTCCCGCAGGCATTCCCGCCATACCTCATCGCCTAGATGAACCGGTTTCACCTTAACCACAACAGTTTTCAAAAGCGTGGTATCTCGCCTTGCAAAATGCCTTGGGAATGTTCGCTGAGCCAGTTCCTTTAAGAAAAAATCCATACAACTTGGCCACAGGTCCCGAAGCTCGTGAATTTTAGGTGTGTCTGCCCATGGCTCGCCTCTGGCCGCCCTCCATGAGGACAACAGAAAATCAGGCGTCCAGTCACAAACCTCCGAGCCCGAATTAGAAGGTTTATAGTACTTATGCGAACTTGTGGTGTGAAACATAAACGAAAGTGTCATTACACTAACAGGGCACTCAAAGAGCTCCATCCCCCCCTGTAGGATTGAGACGTCAACCCAGTCCTTGTCGGCCTCCCCTCCTCCTCCCCTTAAACCACCAGTACTTGGCCCAGCCATCGGCCGTGGAAAAAAATAGAGGAGAAACTTTTCTAGTCAAATGAATTTGGGCGCTCCAGTAGTGGCCGGTACGTTTCCTAAAATCGTGGCTTGTTGACGGCCACGACGTTAGGAAGTACTAGTGGTTTAAACGACCAGTACTTGGCCCATACATTGGCCGCAGGGCTTCCCCGTTAGCGCGCCGCGCCTTTAGGGCTTCGGGGTGCCGGCACACAATGGCTGGAGGCGACAGCCAAAACGAAAGCAAAAGATTGCGCTGGCGGTTCATTCAGAATTGGAGCGCAGGGTGCTCCAAGGCTCGGCATCTATAGCTGGGCCAACCCGGCCAAGTACTGGTGGTTTAAGTGGGCCCTTCTCTTACTGAAATTGTCACTCTTCTATCTCTGCTTCCCCCTTCACGTGCTATGACTCCCGCCTGTCATTGCTCGATGTGCGACTGCTGGTATTCCTCTACATCCTTCATCGACTCCTATTTCTGCTCCTCCATCTCCTCCTGCTGGCCCTCCACATCCTCCTGCTCCTCTCCCTCCTGCCCCCCCCCCGCCCCCCCCCCGCCCCACCCTCCTTCTCCTGTCCTAATGCAACTCCCACTTCTCTTTGCCCCTGTTCCTAATACACACTAATGCTCCCCCTTCTACTGCAAACTCTACTTCTTCCTCCCACTCCACTTTCTACTGCTCCTCCTCCTCCTTCCGCTCCGCATCCTACTCAACTTCTCCCTCCTCCCTCTCTCCCTCCTGTCTCCCACTGTCAAAATTGAAGGCAGAAAGACCAGTAGTGGTTTCAGAGCCACGGGATCCGTGCTAATATTTTCGATTGCCAACAACAAAAGGCACTGCCGATAAAATGAGAGCAGCAGTTTCTTGGGAATCCTCAGAAATTTGAACTCGAGTCAACGGAGAAAGGCGGTGCATCTTAGAGCATGTTCACACTAGCAGGACATTTTGAATGAACCTGGTCGTCATGGCGGTCAAACACATCCATGACAGTACAAGTTCGAGTGTGACCTTAGTCTCAGCTCCTCTCTGGTCTGAAGCTCTCTTCCTATTGGCTGCTTGGAATTGCGTCTCACCCCACACCCCCCCTTCCTATGTGCACTCTCCAGTCTCCCAACTGCAGAGTTGCCTCACTTGGTAGCCTACACATTTCATCCACTGCAGCAGCAGAAGTGCCATGGTTCAAACTCTGGTCAGGAACGTGGTGCATACTCTGCTCCAGCTGGCCATTATCTGACAGTTGGCTGATCCTGATCAGCAGATGGGAAGGAGGAGGATGGACAAGATGAGGCATGTATAGAAGCACCACTCTGCTTATCTGAAAGCACCAGGAGGTGGCATCTGTCAGAGGCGGCGTCCTGATTCATCTGCACACAAAAAATCTAACCACAATGTAACCCCCCCCTTCCTCTGTGCACTACACATTTCATCCACTGCAGCAGCAGAAGTGCCATGGTTCAAACTCTGGTCAGGAACGTGGTGCATACTCTGCTCCAGCTGGTCATTATCTGACAGTTGGCTGATCCTGATCAGCAGATGGGAAGGAGGAGGATGGACAAGATGAGGCATGCAGAAGCACCACTCTGCTTATCTGAAAGCACCAGGAGATGGCATCTGTCAGGCGGCGTCCTGATTCATCTGCACACAAAAAATCTAACCACAATGTAACCCCTGTCTCTTATACACATCTAGATGTGTATAAGAGACAGCACATATAATGCCTGCTGATAAACATATCACCAGTCCAAACTTCAAATCCTCTGCTGGCCCCAGTA